TCTCCCTCTTTAATTATCCTTTCTCCCCTTCTACTGTCATTTCTCTTTTATAATGTCAACAGAAGAAGAAAAAAAAAAAAAAAAAAAAATACAGAAAGTCCCCGGTCTTCGATAAGAAATTATCTTCGAGAGCACGCTTCTTGGTCAGGAACCGGAAATTGCTTAAAACGATAAAACAATATAAGACAACTTCTTCCTCTCTTGAAACAATAATTTCTTCACAGATGTTGAATTTTTCTTTAGTTTTTTAAAATTAAAAACTAATTTTTTTATTGCAGTTCAAAAGTGGCGCCACCTACGAGGCACAATTTTGTTGACACTTAAAAATCTACGTATTTTGAGTTTTTTTTTTGGGGGGTGGGAGAATAGAAACAGTAAATACGTAACAAAGAGTTACAAAAATAGTTGTATGTGATTTTGAGTAAACCGGAAGTGAGGAGATTCGATAACGACTGTCAGACGTAGAATTGTTCTCACGTGTCAAGTCCGACGTCTCACAAACTGCATGACACATGCGTCACGTAATCTTGCATATATATATATATATATATATATATATATATATATATATATATATATATATATATATATATATATATATATATATATATATATATATATATATATGTGTTATCGCATATTCAGGATAGAACGTATTATCCTTTGAATTAGATAATTGATTAAATATATCCTCAATTTATTCACTTTACAAAATTTCTAAATTAATATTTTTCAAATTAAAAATTATAATTATTAATTATATAATTAAAAAAAAATAATTCTAGTATAAAACAAAAAAAATTAAATATATGTAATAGAACAAAGAATTTTGAGGATATAATTGATTGAAAATGACAATTAACTGAAATCCAATGATCGACTAGAGACTCAGAGAGCGAAGATCCGGTCTCATTGACGATAAAACCGGAATGACGAAGTGGATCTCTTGATCATTCCGGAAGAATGTTGGATCCATTGTTGAGTCGCCATTCTTGTCGGCCATTTAACGCTCCTAACCTCCCTTCTTCCCTTCTTCCCCCCCACCCTACCACCACCCTCCTTCTCCTCCTTCCACAAACCAGTCGCGATCTCACGATTTGTTGCGAAAACAATCTCCTTTCTTCTCTACTCCTCTCATCTAAAGTTAAGTTGATGCCCTCTCCTTTTGCCTCTTGCCTCACCTTCTCCCTATATACCAATCATACCTTAACGTTCCCCATCGTTACCCCCTCCCCCCACCCTTTCGCTATATGTATATATATATATGTATATATATTCTATATCGAACGAGAGATTAATCAACGCCGTGTGCGCGCACAGGATGCCGTCAAGGCTTTCACTCGAACGTGATATGTATTCAGGTAAATACTTTGTTGAGAATTGTTTTGTCATGTAAAGAGATTTTTTCGATAAAATTCATAATTTTTTTTTTTTTTTTTTTTTCTTTTACTTGAAAAATTGATTTTATTTTAATAAAATTGCAAAATTTATTGTAAATTATTGAATTAGAAAAAAAGAGATTCAAAATTTTGTTAATGCAACAAAATTCTACTTTTCTTATTTGGTTATACGTCAAGCCAATGAGAAAAATTTTTGTTTTGCCAACTAAACTTTAATTGGTACAAGGGGACTTTGCGGTTAAGACAACAAAATTTTGGTTAACACAAACAAAATTTTATTTTAGGACAACAAAATTAATTTGTTGTTTCAATAACAGAATTTTGTTTGGCATCAACAAATTTTGATTAATGCAACAAAATTCTTTTGCTTTTTCTCAATTGGTTGTGTACAACAACAAAATTTTGGTTATGCAAATTAATTGATACACATTTAGTTGGTACAACCAAACTTTGGTTAAGGCAACAAAATTCTATTATTATTCTAATTTAGTTGTATCAATAACAGAATTTTGTTTGGCACCAACAAATTTTGGTTAATGCAACAAAATTATCTATTTTTCTTATTTGGTTATACGTCAAACAATGACAAAATTTTTGTTGTGCCTAGAAAACTTTAATTGACAAACAAAATTAATGGTTAAGATAACAAAATTAATGGTTAAGATAACAAAATTTAGTTAACGCAACCAATGGTTTGTTTAAAACAACAAAATTAATTTATTATTCTAATTTGGTTGTGTCAATATAACAGAATTTTGTTTGTCACTAACAAATTTTGGTTTATGCAACAAAATTTTTTTGTTTTTCTCAATTGGTTGTGTACAACAACAAAATTTTGGTTGTCCTAATTAATGGGCACAACCAAAATGTAGTTGGTACAACCAAACTTTGATTAATGCAACAAAATTCTATTTTTTTATTTGGTTACATCAAACATTAACAAAATTTTTGTTTTGCCAATTAAAGTTTACACTGAAAAACGGGTTTGGTATTGACAACCAATCGTTTGGTTTGTATTTAAGCAATTAAAATTTTTTTGTTGAGTCAACAAAATTTTAATTGTCTCAACCAAAATTTGTTTGACACAACCAAAATTAGAAAAAAAACGATTTTTGTTGTCCTAACTAAAGTTTAATTGGGACAACCAAAATTTTGTTGATTCAACAAAAAAATTTTGGTTGCTCAAATACCAACCGAATGTTTGGTTGTCAATACCAAACCTTTTTTTCATTGTAATTGACACAAAACAAAAATTGGTTAGGACAACAAAATTTAATTGGTACAACTAAAATTTGTTTAAGACAACAGAATTCCTCTATTCTTGTTATTTGGTTGTGTCAATAACAGAATTTTGTTTGGCATCAAAAAATTTTGGTTAATGCAACAAAATTATCTATTTTTCTTATTTGGTTACGTCAAACAATAACAAAAAAATTTTGTTGTACCAACCAAACTTTAATTGACACAAGCAGACATTGTGGTTAAGACAACAAAATTTTGGTCAACACAACCAAAAGTTTATTTTAGGACAACAAAATTATATTTTTAATTCTAATTTGGTTGTAATAACAAAATTTTTGATTAGCACAAACAAACTTTGGTTAAGACAATAAAATTCTTTTGTTTTTCTTAATTGAAAAACAAAAATATTTTTGTACAACAAAATTTTGGTTGTCCTAATTAATGGACACAACCAAACTTAAGGCAACAAAATTCTTTTGTTTATTCTATTTGGTTGTGCCAAAAAATAAAAATTGATTATTGTCCCAATCAAACTTTAATTGGCACAACTAAAATTTTGTTAAAGCAAAAAAAAAAAAAAATTTTACACTACCCAAAATATTTTGTTTAAAAAACAAAATAAATGATTTTAATAATCTCTTCAACTTTATTAAAGAGAAAAACCAAACTTTTTGCGATTATACATTCAGTAAAAATTTTCAAATTTTCTTTTGAATCAAAAGAAATCGAGCTCAAAGAAATTTTTGTCGAATCAACAATTTTTTTTTTCTCATTATAAACTACCTCTCTAAATATTCAAGAGTTATATAAACACGACGATATATATATATATATATACAAACCCAAAAATTCAATGTGGGGAATTGGATCAAAATATTTCTGGATATCTATATAGAAATGCAAGATTTTCTGAATAAAGAAGAAGTAAAAAAAAAAAAAGATATGTAAAATAAAGAGAAGACAATTGCTTTGAGCGGATGGTTGTTTTCCGCGGTGTCAGGGGTTGGAAATCAATTAAGTGCGAGATACGAGATAGAGGAGAAGGGACGCCTTGTATGATAATGCATTGTAACCTCGACGTTCAACGATACAGCAAAGGAAGAGTCAGATGATAAATCGGGGGGATGGTTCTTACTTTGCATTCCTTTGTGAAAACCCTCCTTTTGGCCCTCTCTATATCTATCTGTCGTCAGTTCTCCGCGACTCACTCTCCTCCTCCTCTTCTCTCAACATCCTTCGCGTACATCTTCCTCGGATGCCCTCTTCAAACTTGAACTAACGCCCGAGGTTTTAATGCACTTGTCTACTTGAGGTGCGCTTCATAAAGACACGTATATTCCAAACGTGTGTCTCTGAGAAGTGCTCTCTTTTTTTCCGTTACTTTCTTTCTCTCTCTCTCTCTCTCTCTCTCTCTCTCTCAAATGAAAAGCAGTGTTTCAAAGAGAAACAAACTCAAAAAATTTCTGATGAAAGGAAAATGATAAACTTGTAAAGAAGGAAAATACAGAAATTTCCTTAAGTATATATAATAAGCAATGGACCACATCCTTAACAGTGGACCACTTTCTAATTTTTTGTCTATCCTGAACTGAATTTTTCTTGCTGTTCAAAATGAGCCAAAGTGGCGCCATCTACGAGGCACATTTTTTTATTTCACTATAAAATTTACTTTTCAGCCGAACACATTTGTTAAAAAAAATTCGAATACAAAAAAAAACAAAAATTTTTCATATACTTAAAGTGAATATGATTAGAAAATTCCTTTACTAAAACATTAAATATATAGAGAAAAAGTAAAGAGCTCTTGTGAAGCGAGATATGAATATAACGAGATGAAATGCATTTTAAATTCCCATATACCGCGACACAAGGTAAGTCCTGAGATTCACTTTACATAATCCTGGGCATGTTCGTGGGAAGAGGAAAAAAAAAAAAAAAAAAAAAGAAACGAAGATGAAAAATAAAAGAATCCGTTCTCGGAATACGAGAGACGCTTTGTCCATCATCATGTAACGTGTGCAATGAAGCCTTTATCCACTATATGCCCTTTGAAGAAAAAAAAAAAAAAAATAATAAAACCACAAAGCCCTCACGATTGTTCTTCTCTGGGGATTATTTGTTATATATATATATATATATATTCTCAAATCATTCTTAAAACAAAATCACAATATTTTACACTTTTTCATGAAAAAATTTGATTCAATCAATTATTTTCGTATAATGTAAATATTTATTTGAATCAAATAATTTTTTTATCAAATTATTTTTTATTTGAATTAAATATAATATAACTTTATTTGAAATATAATTTATTTTGTATTATTATTATTATTATTATTATTATTAAAAACTCACCTCTCTTATCTGGTTCTTGCACCAGCCGACTCTCCGTTACGGCGTCATTTTTCAATCTAGAGGAAAGAAAAAATTATTTAATAAAGTTTCTTTTTTTTAATATAAAAAGAAGATAAATATAATATTTTTCCTGAGTAGGAATTTTTTCAAAAAAAAAATTTCTTTAAAAAAAAATCGAAATGTATAGATTCTAAACTGGGCCAAAAACAAAAATGCAAACTTGATTGCGAATGTGATTACGAGTAAAAACAACTTGAAACCCTATATTTATTTTTTTTTTTTAAGGGTCTTAGTTCCGTGAGCAAGACAAAGGATAAAAAAAAAAAAAGGGAGGAATTCTCTCTACGCAATCATCATTATCGTGCCGTCATTGTAAAGCAGTACCCCACAAAATTGTTCTTGTGAGTACCTTTTCATGTGTGTATATGTGACTATTTCTTGTAATTTCAAGAGACAAACAGTGACGCGATTATAAAAATCGAAATCAACTTTAATTGATGACTTTTCAAATCATCAATTACCCTTTTTTGACTGAAGAAATGATTAATTAAATTAATATTAATTATTAAATTAACAAGAATTTAATTAATTGAAAATAGAAATTAAATTAATAAAAACTTAATTAGGAAATAAATTAATATCTTAATTAATACGAAATAGAAAGTGAAATTAATAGAAACTTAATTAATAAAAATTAATTGCAATTTAAATGGAAAATCCAAATTATAACAAAAAAAAAAATTAATAAATCATAAAAACTAATTTCTTTTTTTTTAAATAATTGCCAAAAGTTTTGATTAATAAAAACTATTAATAGAATATACTAATTAAAAAGCATATTGACAGGTAAAAAAAAAATGTTTTCTATATCTTTTTATTAGCAATTATTTCATTGTTAAAAATTATAATTAAAAAATAATTACAAAAACCATATCTTCACAAATAACTCTGGTTTATATTTAAAAACACACCTATATATATAAATATTTGAGAGAGAAAAAAAAACATCTAATTCAGAGAAAAAGTTAATTATCTCCAAACTGATCGACATGACAGCATATCGTTATAATACCGGGGAAAGTATTTTAAAATTTTACAAACAAATGCGTTTGAAAAACAAAAAGAATATTTCTATTCAATGAATGGTAATTAATCCATTGTGTGTATATATCTATATGTAAAACACAAACAATTTGTTCTTTTTTTTTAACCACAAATAAAATTTTCCAAAATTTTTAAATTTAAATTATATTTACATAAAAAAAAAGAGGACTATTTTTGGAAATTAATAAAATTTTCTTTTCCCTAAAGAAAATAAACCGAGACGCGAACTATTCAGAAATTTCTCGCTGGATGGAAATCATTCAGATGTGGCTAATTTTTTTTTTTTTTTTTTGACGTCAGGTGACAAAAAAAAGAAGGAAATTAGTGTGATAAGAGGGTGGGGTTATTTTTTAAAAAGATGGAGGAGAAAGAGATTTTTTTTTTTTTTTATCAATGTGAGAGATGAGAGCACGCGAGAAGACGAGCTTTATTTTTCTCGCGAAGGCGAGGTCCCAACGTATATAAGAGTTCTTCGCGATGTAATTAGCATGTCTTTACAGAACGGACGAAACAATGGCACGTGTAATTAGTATGCATCTCGCTGTGGCACACGGTACCCTATCCCTCCCCCCCCCTTCTGCCACCCTCTTTTAGATTTCAACCCTGAACGTTCTCTTTTCTTCAATATATATATATATATATATGTCCCGTATCTCTAACTCCCTTTTTCCTTCTTCTCTTTCATTCCTCTTCATACATTACCCCTATCCAGCATCCCGCAAACGCAACTATATCTCGGTACACTATATACTTACCATTCACGCACCCACCGAAGCCTGTTACGCGTCTCGGCCATGAGAGATTTACTCTCAATTGTCTATGTCTTTTGTGTGCAATTTGTTTTCCGAAATTTTGAACAACATTAATTTCATTTATAGCATTAATTTATTTAATTTCAAGAAAAAAGAAAATTGTAATCAACATTTTTATTTAAACATGCCGTTCTTCAAACTACTATTTTTTTCATTAATTATTCAATTTGAATTTAAGCGCCGAAAGTTGTAGATGGCGCGCATTGCCAGACGTAGCAGACGACGCTGGGTCGAAATTTTGTCAGAGAGAAGCGTGACTTAGAGAAGTGAAACTTATTAAAAGTTCATTTTAGAATATTATAAAAACAAACAAAAGAAAAACTAAACGTTCATAATTTGATAATACCCTCTTATTTTTGCAGAATATTTTCTGCATAAAATGATTACACTGGGTTACAAAAAAATGGTCAAGTCGTGTTTATTTAAAATTTTCTGTGTTTATTGAAAGTTTAGGTGTCACTGAACAAGAATATACCCAAAAAAAATTTTTCATTCTGTCAGTTCCGTAAAAAACGAGATTAAAGTGTCAAAAAATCGCTTTTTTAGCACATTTTGAAGCGTTGTAAAACGAAAACGCAACAAGATAAAAACCTTCACGAGGGCTTGAATGAAAGCTTAAACCTTTAACTTTGAGTCCCAAAACTGAAAAGTGAATGATAATTGCGCAGAAATTTTATATAACATGAAATGAATATCTTAAATAGTCAAAATAGCTGGGATAGAGAGCACTTGTTAAAAATCGATTTTCATTACCGAATTTATTTGGAACTTGTTACTTGGAAGTTTTCAACGTTTCTATTGACGTTTCGAAAGTTGGATTTAAAAAATTCAAAATGGTGAATTAAAAATGGCGTTCAAATATTTCAAAAAACCCCGAGGAAAAAACTGCGAAAAAATTCACTCCATTTTTGAAATTTTTGAACGCCATTTTTAATCCGCCATTTTGAATTTTTTAAATCCAACTTTCGAAACGTCAATAGAAACGTTAAAAACTTCCAAGTAACAAGTTCCAAATAAATTCGGTTATGAAAATCGATTTTTAACAAGTGCTCTCTATCCCAGCTATTTTGACTATTTAAGATATTCATTTCATGTTATATAAAATTTCTGCGCACCCCATCAAAAATATCCCCGTGGAAATCCTCGAGGATTTCCTCGTGTCAAATTTGAACGGAATTCCTTGAGGATTTCCACGAGGATTTTTTACTCTAATTTTTTTGTCTGTATTTTAAAAATCCGCAAGGAATCCACGAGGATTTGTACAAAGAGAAAAAATTGAATTTCAAAGTTCGAAAACCTCGAGGAATTCCTTGCGGATTTTTGAAATTCAGACAAAAAATTAAAGTACAAAATCCTCGTGGAATATGTGAAGATTTTTAATAACAGATCAAAAAAAAAAATAAAGTACAAAATCCTCGTTGATTCCGTGGGAATTATTAAAAAAGAAACGAAAAAATTAAACTACAAAATCCTCGTAAATTCCGTAAGAATTATTAAAAAAGAAACGAAAAAATTAAAGTATAAAATCCTCGTGGATTCCTTACGGATTTTTGAAATACGGACAAAAAAATTAGAGTACAAAATCCGCGTGGAAATCCTCGAGGAATTCCGTCCAAATTTGACACGAGGAAATCCTCGAGGATTTCCACGGGGATATTTTTGACGGGGCAATTATCATTCACTTTTCAGTTTTGGGACTCAAAGTTGAAGGTTTAAGCTTTCATTCAAGCCCTCGTGAAGATTTTTATCCTGTTGCGTTTTCATTTTACAACGCTTCAAAAAGTGCTAAAAAGGCGATTTTTTGACACTTTAATCTCGTTTTCTACGGAACCCAAGTAGAAATGTACCACTGGCATAGTACTGACCCAACACTGCCAGTCAGTATAACGGTACTGACTGCCGTACTGGGCCAGTAGTGGACCAACCCTGGCTGGTAACGCTGTCCAGTACTGATTTTGTCCCGCTCACCAGTACTAACGTAGTACTAGAATAATACTGGCATAATACTGGCAAAGTACTCATCCGGACTTAAAATCTCACTTTTTTACAAAATGCTAAAACACGCTTTCCAATGCAAATTTCATCCTTATTAGCTTATTACTCCCATTTTTACCACGAACAGGTAATGTGAAGCCAATAATAGTTAATGTTATTTAGAATATATAAAATATTATTAACAATAAATAATTAAAATAATAATTATCATTTATATTAATTAAATTATTTTATTTTTAATCAATTATTTTACAAAAAATAATTTGTGTTGTAAATTTTTTTATTTTTTTAAATTCTTAATATTTAATTTTTTTTACTTTGCACTTATACATAATTTAATAATTATTTAATAATTGATATTACACATGAACAAATATTGTACTTATAACACTTAAAACTAAGAACGAAAAATCTCGCACGCATGGGGGATCGAACCCTAAACCCTTGGAACGCAAGTCAGATACGCATACCGCACAGCCGCGCTGGCTTGAAGTGCTGACTTGAAGTAGTTCACCTAATACAAAAGTTTTGATTTCAAAGTTTGTATTATCTATTGATCACGAAAATAAAATGAATTCATTCTTAAATTTTTTAAACTCACAAAATTTTTTCAATTTTTACAAAGATTTAATGAAATAAAACTGGATATCAATTTCAGTTAAATATTTTTAATAAATTATTTTTACCGTAAATAATATTAAAACAGACAAAAATGATTGATGAATTACATAATTAAAAATAAGTTAATAAAAGACGACTGTAAAATATGAATGGTGAAAAATTTTTTTAATTTAATATTTAATTATTAATAATATTTAAAAATTACAGTGAAAAAATTACATTTGCTTTATTTTTAAAACTATTAGAAAAAAATTCTCAACTTATTGTTATTGTATGCATGATAAATAACTTAATGCACATATTTCAATGAGTACTAAAATAACTAAAAAACATAAATATATTTTATATAGGTATATAATAATACATTACAATTACATCCAAAATTTTGAGGGAAAGTATTCGAAGGAAATTAATATACATTTTTTTAAATAAAAAATCATCGTTTTCTATCTATTGGAATAATTTAAAGACTTTTTCATTTAATGTTTTTTATCACCGACATAGTACTGATTCGGTGTGAATGA